CCTACTATGTGCCAGGCACTGTGCAAGAGGCTAGAAATATGTCTGGGCTTTCTCTTGGAGACCAGAGGTAGATGGGGTAGTCAACAATGTTAAGAATTAATTTAACTCAGTCCACATTTTGATTGATTCAGACCTACAGAAACAGAAGTGATTTTTCCAAGATTGCATACTTAATGAATAGCAGAGTTGGGATGTGAACCTAGGTCTTCTGACTCCATGACAAATTCTTGCTTCATTGCACCGTGCTATTATCCTCCTAATGGACATTTTTAAAGGAGATTTAATTTTATCATCACTTGTGTACAACGAAACCATAGTATATGGGTTGGTGTGCTTTTGAGAAAGCCAGAATTTGTGTGCCTGTCACATCAGGCACCCCAACAGGTCCTCATGCAGACCTTGAGTTTTGCTACTACTCAACTTCAACCAGACATACTAAAACTGATCCATCAGTGGCTGGTAGAAGGTACTTATACCTACACCTAGCTGTCTGACAACCAAAATAGCATGATGCCCATGTGCCTGCATATTCCCCTGGTTTGATGAGAAGAACACTCCATTTCCACCATGATAGCTTAGAAATGGACCATGTAGGCATGTTGTGGTAGGAACAATATCTGTCATGAAGGGTATGTTTTTTCTTAAGAGATATTGGGTCCTAACTAGCTGAGGAAACTATGTCTTGGAGTCCAAGACTTGGATCATTAGCATAGCTTCCTTCTGACTTAAATTCAATAGCTTGTGAAGAAGCAGGATTTGCTCTCCCTTAGGCTTGGCCAGCATACCAGCATGGCCAATATAGAAGCATGGAAGTTGTAGTCAAGTGATTCAATGCTATATCCTTGCTGAGCCCATTCGATTACTAAGGAAACTTCCTTTTGTTTCCTGTTAGGTGGTCTTGGAGTGTCAAATTTCATTCTAATTCTAAACTTGAAGCACTGGACCAGCCTAAATCAGGCCCAGTCTCTAACTCTTTATTTTAAATACCCAGTATGGTCACTAGACATCTGTTGCCCAGAAATAGGAATCAATGTCTTCTCTATAGTGTTATGAGTTATATTATGAACATCCTTTGTGGGAAAGCCAGGAATTTTGTTGCAAGCCCTTATCAACTATCCATAGTTCCTAGTTGGAAATAATAGTGGACATCAATTACAGATGTGACCCTGCTACAGAGGCATGATGTCATTCAGATACCTATCATACAATACTCTGAGCAAAATGTCTAACTTTCTTCTCCAAAGTGAACCTTCCACTGCTCCAGAAGTCACCAACTCACCTATTCCTGTCTGTCATTTTCTGGTTCTTTGGCTTTTCCTAGTAAATCACCTCCAGCTAGGACCCCAATTTTATTTTTGGACTGCACTATTCATGGCACCACAGATAAAGATCCCATTTTTTCATAGTATTTAACCCTACTATCATTCTGCTGACCATTGGAAAAAAAAATCTGTTTTTAATTACACAAATTCATTCATCTAAACAGATCCTTTTCTATGAACTATGAGTTCCATCTCTGGGTTTTCACTTTATTTATCTTAAATACCACAATCCACTCAGTGACTACTTGGATGAATTCTTTCTTAGCCAATTTGGAATACATATTGTGGGCAGCCAAAGTGGTGTACAAACAAGAATCTGACTGCTCTCATACTTTCAGGGAATCTTTAGGTGTTGGGTATCAGCCCTGGCAATTCTTTCATAACCACTCACAAATAGTCCTTCCTGAAAACTGGTGCCCTGAGTGAGTTCGGGGGCCTAGATAGCTAGGAATATTCTACTTCACTACACCATGCTTACCTTTTTGCTGGACATTTTTTAATAGATCATTTAGGAGACCCACACATGTTTCCTGGTTTCCCCAGTTCTTGCTGTGATAGGCTTAGCTCAACCCTGAACTACACAGTGCCTGGAACATACTAAGTGCTTAATAAATGCCAGTTGTTGGATAACATCCAATGAATCCTTACCTACCCTCAGAGATCCTAGAAGATTAAGAAGGTCCAAGAGATACCATACTCACAGAGGTGATAAGGCTATTTCCAGTGCCTAATATTTCAGTTAGCTTTTAGTCCTGAAAAGAAGACATGGGAACTCATTCACGATGTCAGTTCTATGGCTTTGGTAGAGGCCTTTCATTGGTGCTATCCTATCAAGCCATGACCTTGAATCCCAAGGATGAATAGTGTTTCCAGTGATGTTAAAAAGAGGAAATAGGAATAAGGACATTAGACATACTGACCCACAGCAATACTGACACAACAGAAAGAGAAGAGGTCATGAATAACTTGCTAAGAACACTGCCTGGCACAGGAACATTAAATGTGACCAGCCATTTTTTGCTGACATCTACTGTTCCACATTTTAACGCTCTGCCTCTGATAGGCCCTTTGCTGAGTCCCTGGTTTTGTTATCTCCTTATCCTTTGGATTCAGTGTTTAGATGTTTCTTTAGCATGATTTTCCATAACCTCTGGTTTTCTTTTCCTGATCATAACTTGCTAGTTTTTTTCTGGGTGTTGAGGGGAAGGGTATCCATTGATTCTGTTGATTGTCCCCAATTACTAGTGCTCATTGGTTCCATTCCCTTGGAGGCCTGAGAGTCAACAGTTCATGATGATTGGTATCTGACTGATTGGTAAGACCAAGATGGTAGCTGAGATCCATGTGAAGATTTGCTAGGTCAATGTTCAAGATACAGTAGTAGCAGAAGTACTGAAGAGACCTAGCTGAAATAGGTGTGTCAGCACCATAAGGGAGCGTATACTGGTTTATCAATCAAGTAAAGGTTTATCAATCAGGAGGAGATGTCTTTCATAAGGGGAATTTAAACTAAGGACCAGATAGCTTAAAAATAGAACAAGTCATGAAGCAGACAGGGTGGTAAGAAGCATTCAGATATTCCATAGCTTTGTACCAGCAGTTTCAAGGCTGTGGTAAAGAAAAGTGTGTCTGGATTGGATTTGGAGATGATATATGAAAGTGTTCCAAGATGAGCAAGTTTCAGTGGTTCTCTACTGTCAGAGACTACTTTGTTTTACTTTTTAAAAGTTCTGAGCATAAGTTGAAGAGCGGTGAAATATTCTCCAGATAAACTGGGGCAGGATCCCTGAGTTTGGCTCATCCTTGTGGGGAGGTCTCAAGGAACTGGGTTGCCTAAATTCCTATTGGAGGCCTAGGAATTCATAGTGGAGGGCAGTGGAATGTCTACAAGAATAATGAGGTCAGGATGTTTTGACCTAACAGCAATATGGTCACTGAAAAGAGATTTTTTTCTTCAGATGACTCTGGGAAATATATATTAGATGGGGTGTGGAAAACTGGGATTAGACTAAAACTACCTAGATTCAAGTCCTGACTCTACCAATTATCTATGTGACCTTAAGCAGGTCACTCTACTTCCCTGGGCCTCGGTTTCCTTAGTTGTAAAATTTGGGGATTGGAATAATTATTTCCATTGTTCATTGGCATTCCAAGAAGGGAAGAAAGTGTCTCTGAGACAAAGTCAGTAATGGGGGGGGCAGGCAGGAGAAGAGGTCACTGAAGCTAGTCAAGGAAATGAGCTCAAGTGGTTAGAAAAGGAATGGGAAAGATATTTATTGGTTGTTGAATAATTCAGCTATATATTGGAAAATTTAGGTTTTGACCTGTACTGTTTTTATGGACAAGATGGCACTGCCCTGCTTTTTGTGATTTGTATAAATCACTTAAAAGGATATCAAGGACTTAGTTTCATCCTGAAAGGATGGTCTAGGGAAGGGATTCTTAACCTGGGATTTTAAAAAATGTGTGTGTTTTAAAAAATAACAGTATAATTGATTTCCTTTGTAATCTTACATTTTTATTTCATACATTAAAAACTATTATTCTGAGGAGTTCATACGCTTCACCAGACTGCCAATAGGATGAAAGGCATCAAAAAAAAAAAAACAAAGATTAAGAACATCTTGTCTAGGAGCTTAAGAATGGAGCATTAACTATGGACCCCAACAGATAACGGAATCACTGTTCTAGAACCACCGTCTTTATGGTTTTCATTAATATATAGGAAACTAGGAAAAAACCCAAAGCCAAGATGACAACTATTTCTACTTCAATTTTGTTTTTAGCATCTCTACCAGAGTTCTGTCATTGTTTGATTTTCATCATGTATCTACTAAGTGGGACAGTTAGATCATTAAATTTCACAGCATAATTAGTTTTAACAAATAGCAGGATATGTTTAGACAGGATTTACAGATCTGGTATGATTAGTCCACATTAGAGCAAAACTTTTTTGACTTAATTTTTATTATAGCTCTTTTTTCATAAAATTTTTAAATTGATTTTTAAAACAATAACTTTTGCATTAAAAAAAAGTGACACTCCCTACTCCAGTCTTTGTTAGCGTGTACAGAGGTGCTTACAAACGAACATTTCTGCATATTTGTAATAACTATATACAGACTGCTTGGGGTTCTACTTTTCCTATTTATTATTTCATATACATATTTTCTTGTATTATTATCTAGGTATCTGTGGTGTGGTAGAGAAAAAGTTGACCTCAGCTTCAGGAAGGTCTGGGTTTGAGTCCTATTTCTTGAGGCTCCAGGCAACCAACTCCCTAAGACCAAAAGTTGCAAAATGGAGCGAATCTGCACAAGTAGAGAGAGTTTCCTCCTGATTCCCTTTGCCAGTGAAATCATAGGTCTCTAGACCAAAGCATAGCCTATGTATATATATGTTTTTCATTTTTAATAACATAGTGTTTATTTTCTAAATTTTTCTCAGATTACCCTTAAGATACTTTTTATAGAAATTATTGCTAGTACATTATCTTATACTTTTATGATAAAATATCATAAGGTGACTTAATGAGTGGCTAAGGAAGATATCAGTCAGATTAGTATGCTTTGGTATCATATTGGGCCCTGAAATTATACAAAAATTCTATTTAACTTTTTTTCAAAGAGACTGTCTTTATGATTTTAAAATTCATATCCAAAATATAGATTTACATACTCTTAACCCCATCTTGGTTCTTTCAATAGCTGTTTCAAGAGCCTGAATGTCAACAAGGTCTTCTTTTCCATCATGTGCAGAGTGTAGCTCTCTCTTTAGTTGATAAAGGTCTTCTTGAACCTGGAGGCAGAGAGAAACACCAAATACTAGATACTGAAATAATAGAATTTTTTTTCCAGTTAGGACACCTCAGGTGCATACATGCATGTATATGTGTATTTAAGGTTTATCTTAGGCAACTTGAATCAGTAGACGAAATGAAATAGCCTGTATTTGTGTAATGGTGCTTAGAACCATAGTTGCCCTACAACCAAATTTGAATGAATGTTGAAATTCTAGCCCTGTTGCTAGCATTCAGTACTATGAAAAATGAAAATTCCCCAGTAACTTTATTTTTTCTTCCCTATCCTGGCTGCCTAGTCTCTACCAAATGGCTTCTCTTGTCCGCAGGTTGTTACTACCCCTAAAATGGTAGATTGGAGGCCATAAGAAAATTGGTCATTTGCAAAACTTAAACTGGAAAAATCAAGAGATCTATTTGACAAATATTTATTAAGTTCTCTTTACATACAAGGCATTGCGCTATGCACTGGGGATAAAGGGACAAAAGTGCAATAATCGCTGTCCTCACAGAGCCTCTATTCTAAGGAGAGATGATTTATGAATTACTTAAGATTAAATGACCATTAACCTGTTAAGATAATAACTCACATTTTTTTTTTACAGTGCTTTAAAGTTTACAAAGAACTCTCTTGACAACACCATGAAACAGACAGTGTAAATATTATTTCCTCCTTTTTACAGATGGGGAAACTAAAGGTCAGAAGCTAATTGATTATTCAATTTTACACACGTGCCAAGTGTCAAACTCAGGTTTTCTGACTTCAAATCAATGCTCTTTCCTTTGTACCACCTGCCCTCTGTCATTCATTTTCTGTGTCTTCACCAGTCATTTGCCAAATAAACCATTTTGTGCAAACTTTCTTATCTGATTGGGATCCTCTAAGGTTGGTTTAAGAAGTGAGAAGCATCAAGCTTCTAGTGAGGAAAGGGAAAAGTGTCACAGGAACTCACTCAAACAGAACAAAACAAGAGGAAAATAATAATACATTTCAAAGTATGTTTTAAATGTATGGATGGGGCCCATTACATTTCCTTTCTTAGTGGATCTTTTCTTCTTACTTCTTGGCAGAACCAGTGCCATCTGTTGAATATTTAATGACCTATTTTTATGGAGTCAGAAAGGAAAACAGTCCATAAAAGAAGCCAAAATATTTTCCTTCTTTAATGTCTTCCTTTGATTTGTGTCTTCCTTGGAAAAGGTAGCCAACCTCCTCTTTGGTGTCACGCAATCTTGGAGTGGATTAGGCCCAATGGTATTGGATATCATGTGACTTTGCACATTTATATCAGAAACCAAACTTCGAATGAATAAATACAGATGGCACTAATTATTGTATGGGCTGCTGCCACAATAAAAACATTTTGTTATGCAAATTTATGAACCTAACACCTGTTTCAGCAACAGTCACACCAACAACCTACAAACTGGGTTCCTAAGGGCATTTTGAAACATTTACCTTTTATGTATTGGTGATTACTTGATTCACATATTAAATCCAACTAATGTCATTGATTACTACCTAGTGCTCCTACAATGTCAAGTATTCAGAAGATCTGAATTTGCCTCTTCAACCCACAGGCATCACAGACTTGGAGACACATCTGGTCATTTGTGCTCGGCACAAAACGGCTTTTAAGTGACACTTCAATGCACAGACTGGCACTTGTGCACACCACTGCTTGCAGGCAACAAGAATGAAGGTATTAGCATCTTTTGATTATTTTAGCCAAATCATTCCTGCTGCAGGTGGATTTACAGTCTCTATTATGCAGACATTTGAGAAATCCAATGAGACAGTGCCAAGGCAAGTTATACCTAATACCGACATTTTCAGATGCCTCTTTTTGTGCACAAATAATTTCCTCTTTGGAGTGTACATTCTTCAGGTATTTATAGACTATTTTCTTATTGCATTGGCAAGGTATCTCTGTTTTATGCCCCTGATCTTCTTTGCTAAGCAATCTTCTTCTCTTGTCTGATCACCCTAATGCTCTACCATTTGCTTATCTATATACCATCCAAGAGAGTGGCACAAGGAAGAGGCAACTGGAAAGTAGAAAGCAGCAAAAGGAGAAAAGAGAAAGGAAGGAGCTAGGATTCTTTTTTTTTTTAGGCAATTGGGGTGAAGTGACTTGCCCAGAGTCACACAGCTAGTGAGTATTAAGTGTCTGAAGCTGGATTTGAACTCAGGTCCTCCTGACTTCAGGGCCGGTACTCTATCCACTGCACCACCTAGTTACCCCAAGAAGCTAGAATTCTTCTGAAAACTTCCTGGCACATAACAACTGAGTACAGCCACTGACTGAAATAGAAGAATAGAAGGGATTTGTTCATTGTACAACAAAATTAATTCAATTAAGTTCAATAAACATTTATGAAATTCCAATAATATGCAAGATAACATATGCTAGGAACTGGGAATAAAATGACAAAAACAAAATAGTCCCTGGCTTAAGGAATTTACTATTGGGGTCACACAATGGGTAAGCAGATGAGTAAATATGAGGTAATTTGAGAATGAAGAGAGCCTTATCAGCTGGAAAAATGATTGGGAAAGGCTTCACAGACATGATGGTACCAGAGTTGAACAGTGAAGGAAGAAAAGGATTCTGTGGAGAAAGTGAATTCTGGGTGTGGGGATAGTTTGAATGAAAGCACGGAGGTGGGAGAACGATTTGAATTTAGAGCTTAGCTTGTACTACAATTTGGCTAGGGAGCATGTAGGGGAGAAACATGAAAAGATAAATTGAAGCCAGGTTACTTTAAATGTTGAACTGAAGAATTTATACTTTATTCTAGAGGTGATAGAAAGCCACTCAAGATTTTTGAGTACGGTAGACACAATTGGACCTAGGGCTTAGGAAGATTATTTTGGAGGTTGTTATAATAGACGAGAAAATGATGATGTGAGTCTAAATCAGAATGGTGGCTGTATACTGTATGAATGGTGAGAAGAGAACAGATTTTGGAGAATGACTTGAGCCTTGATTTGTCAAATGATTGGATCTAGGACATGAGAAAAATGGAAAACTCAGGATGTGTCTAAGGTGATGAACATGGGGGACTGAGAACATGGTAGGTTGTATTGTATTGTAAACTAAGGTTTGCGTTGTATTGCTTTAGTTCCTTGACAGAAATAAGGAAGTTTGGAGAAGGGGTAGGCGCTGGGGGAGATAACGAGTTTCATTTTGGACATGTTGAGTTTAAAAGGACTATAAGACAGCCACGTGAAGGTGTGGGACTATAATTCTAGTGAGATAAAAGATATATAGATTTAGGAGTCATCTATGTAAAGATGAAAAATGAACCCAAGGGAATGAATTAGATCACCAAGAAAAAAAGTATAGGGACAGGAGAAAACGTAGGCCCAAGATAGATAATTGTTGGACACATATGATTAGTATGTGGGTGATGACCTAACAAAGGAGACAGAGGAAGTAGTCAAACAGATTGGAGGAGAATCAGAGAGAGCCAGTGTTTCATAAGGTGAGGAGTATACAGGAAGATAGGAGAGTGGATAGTGTCAGAGAGGGCAAAGAGGATGATTACTAAAAAAAATTAGAAGTTAAAATCATTATTAAACCTTGATTTTTGTGTATGTTGGTGAAGCCAGATTGTAAAGGGTTGAAAAGTGAGTGGGTGGAGGAGGCAAGTACAGATGAATCTTTCTAGGAACCTGGAAGTAAAAAGGAGGAATGACATAAGATGATAACTTAAAAGAATAGAAGGGTTAAGTGAAGACTGTTTAAGAATGGGAGAAACATGAGTATGTTTGCCAGGAAGTAAGAAAGGAGACAGTAGGGGATGGAATCAAGGACTGCCCTTCTCCTCAGAGATGGTAGCCCAGAAGAAAATAAGTAAAGAAGTAAAGGAGTTTTTGAGATGGAGAATGAAAGAGGAAAAGAAACTCACAATGAATAGCCTTCATTTACTTAATAAAGCAAGAGGTGAGGTTATCTGTTAAGAGATTGGGTTTAGGATGGTACTGGGGGCTTTAAAAGTGGAGAAAGTTTGGAATAACTGCTGTACAGAGTAAGACAGTAAAGCAAGGAAGAACAAAGGTATTTCCATGCAGTAGTGAGGTCCCAGTTGAAACTATATAACGTGAATTTGTAATGGGTCAATTGTCATGGTTGCATGACTTCCTCTAGTAGTGTTTAGCAGCTTGGGAGTAGGAGCAGAGAAATTGGTTGGTGGGGGTGACCTAGGGTTGAAGATTAGCAAAAGGGCAAAGGACTCAAGGTTGGAGGACAGTTTTGGTTCAACTGGTTAACCTTGTGATAAAGATCATATAGGGAAGAAAATGAGGCCAGAGCAGGAGTAATAGACTTGGAGAAATAGAGGGAGCAGAGATTTCAGGAGAATGAAAATTAGTTTTAGGAAGAGTGAGGCAAAGAGAAAGATGTACAAATAAATGATTATGATCAGAAAGGGCAATTTTAGAGTTCAAGATTATAAAGGTAGAACATGGTGGGTCTAAGGGGTGAGCTGCCCCTGTGAGTAGCTTGGAGTGTGATGTAGCTCATGAATTGAAGTTGATGAACTAGGAGAGTGAGGTGTTTGAGGTAATATGGGAACATGGTAGGTTGTATTGTATTACAAACAGAGGTTTGTGCTGTATGGTTACTAGCTGCTGAACATTACTAGAGGAGGCCATGCAATGATGCCAATTGCCCAAAAGTCCCCAAGTATGAGGCTAGGAGATGGGAGGAAGGAGGAAGATCGTAAGCCATTTCTAAACTTGAAAAATTGGAGAGGGTGACCTAGGGGCTGGTAGGCAAAAGTAACAAGGATGTGTTCAGGGACTGAAGAAGAGCAGGGCTGAGTTGGAAAGAGATAAGAGTACAGGGAGATATATCAGGGGAATTTGGTAGCCACATCACATACCACACAACACCCAAATGACTGGGTGTTCAATTGATTGGAGAAGAGGGCAAAACAGTCAGTGTTAATGGCAACCAGGAAGGTTGTGTGGTAAAAGAAATCTCAGATCCCAGGCAACACA